AAAAATTAATAAATAAAATGTATTATAAATTCTTGTATGAAAATCGTTCTATTTATCATGATTGAAAAAGACTTGACAAGTAGATGTATTAAAAATTTAAAGATATTTATCTACTTTGAAACATTTACTCTGAAAAGGAAATAGAAGTTTCTACGTGTCGAGGATATTGATATTTAGGTATATTGAAAAAGGAGACTATTCTCTTGAGTTATTTCAGAGAAATAAACTGTATCTTTTACATCAACAAAACTTTCGTTCAATTTTCATAGAAAAATATCTTTCTGTACTAAACCTCCGAGAAACTGAAAATAAATTGCTTATCTTTCAGTCTGGAAATTAAAAACTAATACTTTAGTCTTGTACAAAGTATGTTACTTTTAGCAGGCATAACAAAATCCTGTTAACTTGTCACTATGTTGCATTAATTTTCGAGGCCCCTTTAGGGACTCGACAGCGGCATCACATTTTTCGCCACTCAACCCCATGACAATGACAAAAAAGTTTTAGCCCTTAAAATAAAAAAGTCAATTAAAAATATGCCGGTCCTCAGAAGATTAAAAAACTCTATTGAAGATGTATCATTTATTGCTCCAAATATTTAAATAAATTTTATACATTTATATAGAACATACAAAATTTTATACATTTATATAGAACATTTATTTACCAATATGTTTTAAAAGAATATTTTATACATATTCTTTTAGTATTATAATTAATAATTCTGTTATTAATATTTTTTCTGTTAATTATTTTTTTGAAAACATTATCTTTGTAAGCAACATTTTATTTACTTCCTGATATTGTTAAAGAAGCAAAGAAAACAAAAATATTTATTCTTGAAAATTATATGGCCGGAGACATATTTAGGTTTCCAACCTTACGTGTCACGTTTCTACATATCATTTTGTCTCAGCAATTTCGCAACAAGATTAATCTCTAATAATGTTCGGAAGCCCAACCTTCAAAGAGTATAGCGTGCATGAACAAGCAACATTGCATTATCACGATTGTTTCGCGGGAAATTAATAGACTGACGATACTATTATAGTAAGAATTAATGAGACTCACGAGAAGCAATTACGATTGATAACTACCTCGATGAGAGAATCTAACTCACTCGAAACTAACGAAGCCATGTTTCATCATGACACCGCATGACATTAGAAGCAAACCAATTAAGAAGCTGTTGCTTAAGTCAGTAAATAATTGAACAATTTTGCATTCCTGAATACGTTTAGTAGATAAATTTCATGTACAACTTGGGAAATGTTTAGCTAAACCTTGACCGCGACCTCTCAACTTCGAACTTAGAAGTGGCAAATTAGCGGTTTCTAAGTTCTAATTTCAATGATATGGTGTAGTTAAAGGTCAAAATGGAGTTTCGTGTTCGTGACCCAAAGAAAGATAACAAGAGCGTGGAGCGGAAGTGACGGAAGGTGAGAGAGTAGGCTGGATAAATCATGCAGTTTATCTACGATATGATCGAGGTTGCCCTAATTAATGAAGTGCATGATAAATGATGTGATTTAAATGACCTCCTCTAGGAGTAACCAAAATCTGACCGACATAATGAGAATTATATTAGTCATCCACAAAAACCAAGGCTACATTTTTCTTTTTACTTCTTTTCAACTTTTTATCTGGTGCCATAAAATCGACCGCGCACTATTCAATAAATAACACCAGAGATTAAACGTCGCAATCAAATTTTAAGCAAATGTAATGTTGCATGTACAATCAATATCTATACAGTCATATTTGATAATGACTAAAAGTAAGAAGAAATTACATTAAACTAAAAGAAATTCCCTGCCTCTTGAGATATTTGAATAGAAATCCAAATCTACAATTCTCAAGATGAAACCGCAAATGCGGCCAGATGAACAGATAGTTAGACAGTTATAATGTCGATTCTAATCTCACCCATATACCAGCGTATGTCTTTCGTGTATGTAAACTAGAGGCACAGAAATGCCTGAGTTCACATTCGTACATGCATGTGCATAAACGCGAGTGTGTCTAGAGGGTTTGCCGGTGCAACGTCGTATGCAAACCCGGACCGAACATCCCGCCTGTCTCGAGACCGACGAACTCTATACGTAAACGACGTAAATACCTTGGCTTCCATGATGTTAAGGCAATATGGACTACCAACTTCCTGCGGCCATATACGTTACGTACATACCGCTTAGTATTCCGATAGCGTGCCAAAATGTGGGAAATGCAGATAGAGCTGTTAACCTGCACTTACTTTTACGCGATGGGCAGTCGAGAAACGTGCGTGATAATACAATATATAGACTCTATTGCAGAAGATGAAAACTTGTTGATAAGACGAAAAAAATCTCTTCCGAACGTTCTCACGAAGACAGGAATAAGATCGTGAAAATTTTATCAACGTAACTAGATTATTTTCCTACAGTCTATTCTTTAAATATATATTCCTGCAATTCCTTGCAGGAGGACCAGCATGCTGGTTTCAACCGTTCAACACAAGATTCTCTCATAAAATTTTACTTCTTGATACGAACGGTCATATAACGCCAAGAGATTTGAAGAGGGTTGATTATTTCTTTCACATGGAGGAGACGTGTTTCTACTAAAAAAGACTAAAACTTGATAGGACAATTTAGCTCAAAGTATTATCGACATCTGAAATAGCGATAACATCTCAAAATGCACTGTTTTATTAAAACAGGAAGTTTTCACGCAGCGGATTGATAAATTGACTTTATTCTTTTTTAGGATAGTTTGAACTTTATATCCTGGATTTGCGCGGCCAAAGCTCTATATTTTGTCAGTAAATATTTTTTAAATATTAAAAAGATATATTTATTTACGCAGCGCTTTTCATCGTTCAAAAGTACCTTTTTCCTAAAGTCTTCAGATAAATTCTGTCTTCATGAATAATGCTATTCCTTATCATCTTTTATGATCGAGAAATCCACAACCTTATACTTCTATGTTAGAGGATGGCAAATTTTTTTCTTTTTTCTCTAATTCAGGTCATCTCATCCTATCGCGTAGGCTTGAGTAAACGATCAGGCACTCCCCTGAGCATAACAAAAAACATTTTGCCTACGAAGGTGTTTTTCATTCAAGATAACGATTCCCTTTTCCTTCGCGCTTATTGTATTCAGTTGATATTTTTTTCATGTCTAAGCAAGATATCCCCAAATGATTTATAATAACAATATTCGACAAACTGTCATGGCAAAAATATAAGAAAATGGACTGACAAAAACCGGATAAATCGATTAGGAAAAGGTATATTGAAAGGTATATCCTGCATAAGATATCGAGAAAATAATAAGAATTTTGTCTGTTATCGCAATTTGGAAATGGTGAAAAGTAATAGATACTGGATAATAGGCTGATTCCAAATTGTGATCAAACAATTAATTATTTCATATAAAATATATGTACATTTAATTTTAATTTGATGTAAATATATCACGAAAGCTCTTAATCGATAAAGTTTAACATTACGACAACGTATAAAAATTGATTCAATTTCGTGAGAAATCGTTGTACCGCCGCAAGAGATTAACTGCATTTCGCAATTTGTGCTGCGCTCTAACCACACCAGCTGGGCAAAGCCTTTACGTGCGCGCATTATCCCGCATTATCTGCCCCTGACGTCCGGCGATATCGCAAATTCTCGATAATCTACCGTCCGCTGTTATTACACCTACATTTCGACCACAGACAATACCCGCACCGTCAATTTTCTTACGAGACAGTACAATGAGCGTTCGTGCAATTGTTTTAGACTTAAAAAAAAAACATCGAAATATCGAATTTAAAAAGAATTCGGAATGTGTCTGCAAGGAATTTTAAAGAAATTAAAAGTTTGATTATACGGAAAAAATACCTCGAAAATCGAGAATAACTATTCGACTTCTTTTTTTTTTATTAAATGAAGGCTCTCATAAATATTTATTTGCAACTTATGTAATTTGACAAAATCAACATTCGGTAAAAACAAAAAATTAGGAAAGATCTGAAAGATCTCTTGTATTTTAAACAACTTTTTTGATATTATTAAAGCGCTTTTAATATTAAGAAAAAGAGATAACGCTTTGGTTATCATGAATTATACACCGCATATGGGAAATCCCTTCTCATATTTTCTTTGTCCCTTGAGACAGACACATTAAATATTAATGAGAAAAGTGATAATGAAGCTAAAATGTCAGTATGATCAAATATAATACGCACTACAAAATCTTTATTTCATTTTATATAATGTAATATACATCACTGTATTTAATTACAACTTTTATTAAAAACTATTATTATATCAAATAATTTATATAATAAAAATATAGTCTATTCTTTTTCTACATAAACAGTAATATCCGTTAAATATATACTATTTCGAGTATAACGCGTAAAAATATTCCGTGTCACGTTTGTTCACTTCGCGAAATAATTTAAATCCCGGGGGTAACCGAGTAAATCCAACTATGGAACGCAAAGAAATTTGATTCTTGTAAAGATTCTCTATGTTCTGCAGCAATTTTACGTCTCTGACGAGGCGCTATCATCGCCAACTGATTCCCAGCGCGTGCAAATCGCACGTTGAAACTGGAGCTATGGGTGCTAACTATCGATTGTGCTGAACGATGAGCGAACCAACATACATTCCAATGCGAGAAAGATAAAAATCGTTCGTCATTCGGTTTCCCAATATAACAAGTAGTCGAAGCACTCATCAGAAATGACAGCGATACATATTGATGAAATGTTGCGTAACAAGACCTTCCTGATTATGTTCTGTAACTCTATTACCTACGCTTAGTATACTGTAGAATATAAGAAAAAAAGACATACTCTAAAATAGAATTTGTATAAATTAAAATTAGCTTTATTCTCTATTAATTTCGTCTTCTCTCAATTATAGTGCATTTGACAGAATAGATGTTACGAATAGGAATCAAAATGTAAGTATATCGAGATCTGTAAAGTCAGTTCAAAGGTGAATTTCCATTCAGTTGCAGAACAAAGGAAAATGTCGGCCGAAGTGAGAGCTGGTCGACCTACCATGCCAACGATTTTGATATATCCGCACTCCAAAAGGCCAACGATTTTGATATATCCGACGGGTAAGTTATAAACATCATGTTTCCAATATTAATTCTCAGTATTACGCTGAAACTAATCTACTTTATTGCAAGAAATATACGGCGACTTATATCACGTTGATTGTCTTAAGAAATGCGCTAGATTCATTTTGAAGAAACGGTATATTAATTGCGCGAGGGATGACGTTTAATTAGACGCTTGTGTATAAAATATTAGATCGCGCTCGCAGCAATGTTAATTATAAACGAGT